TCTGCCGTGATTAGAGTAATTGAGCAGGTATTACTGGCCAAGACAAGAGCAACACCCATTCAAATTTTACAATTTTCGGATATTTTAATATTAAAATATATCGCCAACAAAAGAAAAGGCCACGAGGATCTCCTTTGTACTTTATATTTTTAATGTTCCTTTACAAACCCATACAGGTTTGACAGCCATCGGACCTCTACTAGTGGGAATATGACCCTCTGAAAATTGCCATGCTTAAACTTAGTTTTGGGGGGTGGGGTGAAAAAAGTGGGTAGAGTGTGGACAAGGTGGGTTATATTTTTAGTTTGAAAGTCTTGGGGGGAAGAATATTGATCGACAAAATACATCATACATGTACATAGTAAATATATTGCTAGATAAGAGTATAATAAGCATATATATGAGTGATGTGTATGATAACTGAAAATCTGCTTCGAAAGCTGGAAAAACAGAAAATTGGGCATAAATCCCTTGAAATACAGTTTTATGGCATAACATTTGGCAGAAGTTAAAAGGGTCCTCAGGCAAGTATTTCAGCCCAATAAGGTCAAATTCTGTGAACCCCCACCTTGCCGCACTTGTCTGGTGCTTAAAAAAACTGTCACTTAAGAAGTTATTTTATTGATTATTTTATAGCATTCTTTGTGCTTTACATATTCATCTAATTACTATTTTAAAAGTATTATTTTGAAATTATAATTGATTCAGTGTTTTTTTCTTCAATTTTTTTTGTTTAAGTTCCATATACAGTGAGCGTAGATTCTCTATAACACATAAACCACTTCTATTTTCTTACATGACCCAAATAAAACCAACATGCCAAAAGATAAACCAAATAAATCACTCTGTCAGCAAAAAGAAAAAAGTATAAATCTGCACCATCTTCATATTTCTGTTCAAGTATTATTATCATTTATTATTATTATTTTTTTTTTTTTTTTGAGGGGGGGGGTTCAAGATGGTGACCCTTGGTATTACTTTTAGTTATGCTATTTGAGACTATAGGCTGGCATTTGCAAATTCCTGCTCCCCAATGGCCAATTTCCTAGAAGAACTATAACTATCATTATTACTATTATTTATTTAATAATTTATTTATTTGGTTGAATATATACATTTTTCACTGAGTTTTTTTTTTTTTTTTTTTTTTTTTTTTTTTTTTTTTTGTTAACTTACCTAAATTCCTGGTCCCTGTTAACCAATTTCCTGGGGGCACCACAGCTGTTATCCTCCAGGGAAAGCCCTGCCACTGCCTCAGGCAGGGAGGTTGTGTGCTGGAAAAAAAAAAGAAAGAAAATCAATACTGTTATTATTTTTTTTTTTCAAAAACCTGTATAAAGTGTATTAGCAATAACAACTCTGTTTACAATACCACGCAGTACATGTCCCTGTTTCTAAGCCATATCCTCTGGTATGTAACTTGTTCCTAATTAAGATCACATTAATATTCCCTTTTTATGACTTCCTATTCAAGTTCTATTGTAACCGTGGGCATATCTCTGCCTTTGCTATAAACAGTTTGTCAGTATAGTTATATCATAAACAACTTCATTTTGTAATAACATAACAAGAATTCTATGAAGTATGTACATTTGTGAATAACAGAATGAGGATGATGGGGAAAAAACTAAGAACAGTGAGAGTCTCTTAATTCCCAACTCAACTTTTTAGTAATTTTATAATTTTACCAAAGGCATCTAAAAATTTCAATTCTAATGCAGTCATCATTGCTATCACAATTGTATATATAGGAACATTTTTATTAGCCCATGCCACTAGAATACCCATAAATTTAATACTTACCTGTCCACTGTATATCTGGTAAAGCACCTGGACCAACGGAATAGCCAGCTCCTTCTGAAACAATGAAAAATATAATAACAACTAAGACTATTCAAATTCATAAACTGCTTGTTTATATTCTAAATCTGCCAACAGTTGAATTAAGTTATCATAACAAATACAGTGTTTGACCTTCGTTTGAAATAGTACAGGCCAATTTGGCCAGTGTGCTCTGAAAGTTACTGGCCAAACCGAAAATGCACAAGCCAGACTTTGGCCAGTTTTATTACGAAGTTACTGGCCAAATATTCAAAGTGCAGGCCATGTGATAATGACTCATGATGGAGATGTTATCATATGCAAATAAAGAGAAAAAATTAAAAACATTTTTAAACCTAGAACTGTGTTTATTCTTTAGTCTACAGATTTTGCACATTCTAATCTAAATTAAACAAATTATATGCATATTTATTTACCCCACTTTGATTAGATTTTTAATAAAATTTTCTGTACTTATATTTCTAAAATTTTCTGAACTTGTACTCCATGAACATAATTTGTTTAATGAAATTTATATTTTGTATCTTTAAGTTGCATCATCACACCAAGAAATATTCATACAATAGATGCAAGGATTTAAGCTTCATGCTCTTTACTATATATTTGTACATAAATATACATTCTTTGGGGGGAATCGGCCAGAGGGGAAATTGTCCTGATGAAGAGATAAAAGTCAGTATAAAGATCAATTTTGTCTTAAAAACTGCTCAACATCCTTCTCAGTCATTTCATTGTCTTCATCTGAATCACTATAACAGTCATCAAACCCCTCATCACTGTCTGACATCTCTGCCTGCTCAGAGTGGATACTGGGAGTTGTCACATCATTGGAAGACTCAGAAATTGTCACATCAATGGATGGCTCAGAGTGGAAACTGGGAGTTGTCACATCAATGTAAGACCCATTTTGGTACCTTAGCCAAGGTCTTCCGACCTCCCACTTTGGCAAATATAGCCTTTTTTTCAATTTTTGGTGTTTTTGGTTTGGTACCTGCAATTTTTAAGTGTCAAGTTTATTAAAGACTGCCAACACAATCACTGAGTCAGACATAATCAATTACTGGTACATGTGATAAAGAGCTAAACATTTAACAACGTTAAAATCAACAATTGGGACAAACAAGTAGACCATTCAGATATGGGGTCTTAATAAATATATATATA